CCCCACATCACTCTAACGTAGTACGAGAACAAGTGAGGAGTGAGGCAATCCTGGGACGGGACACCTGTCATGGGGCAGCCCTGGCTGTACAGACAGACTGGGGAAAGGGAGGCTGGAGAGCAGCCCCGTGGAAAGGGACCGAGGGGTCCTGGTCGATGGCAAGTGGAATATGAGACACCAGTGTTCCCCAGTGGCCCGAAGTCCTGGAATGAATCAGGCACAGCATCACCATTCGAAGAGGGAGATTGTCCCACTCTGCTCTATGCTGGTGCAGCGTCACCTCGAGTCCTGGGGCAGATTTGGGTACTGCAGTATAGGAAGGATATAAAGGTATTATAGAGCATCCAAAGAAGGGACATGAAGATGCTGAAGGGTCTAGAGGGGCCATATGGGGAGCATCTGAGGGCACTTGGCTTGTTCAGCTGGAGAAGAGGAGACTGAGGGCAGAGCTCATTGGGGTCTGCAGGTTCCTCACAAGGGGCAGCACCGATCTGTGCTTGCTGTAACGAGTGACAGAACCCAAGGGAATGATGTGGAGCTGTGTCAGGGGAAGTTTAAGCTGGGTATTAGGGAAAGGTTCTTCACCCAGAAGGTGGTTGGGCACTGGGACAGACTCCCCAAGAAGTGGTCACAGCCCCAAGCCTGACCGAGCTCAGGAAGCATTTGGACAATGGTCTCAGGCACGTGGTGAGATTCTTGGGGTTGTGCTGTGCTGGGCCAGGAATTGGACTCAGTGATCCTTGTGGGTTCTTTCCAACTTAGGTTATTCAGGAATACAGTGGAAACTCCCTTCAGAGCCCAGATTATGTCAGAGAATCCTCTCAGTGTCAGGAAGTCCCAAACTTGGCTTGTTTGGGGTTGTCCTTTGCTGTTTCACACTTGTTACAGAAGATTCACTGAGCTTTTTGCAGCAGGAGGAACGAAGTGATCTTTGCAGGGCCTGAGTGTTACATTCTCTTGAAATTGCTTTGCAAGAGGTAGTAAGAATCTGCTGCTTTTACGTCCATTATTCTTTCTCCAAAGGAGCAGTTGACAGTTGCTGACTATCAATTTCTATCTGCTTCACTGGTCACTGATGAGTTACTTCATAGGGACTGTTGAGGAATGCTTAGAAACAATGGGACATGATCATTTGCTTTAGACAGTGACGTGTGATCTAGAAATTGGCGAGCAGAAATATAGTATCCTTGTCTGGAAACATATGCAGGGATCTGAGATAACTGACGTAGCAATTTCATCTTTTGAGCAGGAAGCCAGTTTGCTGTGTTATCTTCCCATCCCTGAAACTGCAGTTATAGGAAAAGCTGGAAGTCAGTCCATCTCCATTCTCTTTAAGTGGGCAGAAGTTCTTGATCTTTTTTTTGCTGGGTTCTGCTCCATCTTAGCATCGTCTTTAGGGCAAGAAGCATTCTGAGTGTTAGGAATGTTCCAACAATGCTAACTAGGAGTTTGATGTTACTGGGCTGGTGGGTGATCGCTGGTGATGAGAAATTAAACAAAACCTTCATGGGTTTAAAGAGATTTGTGGGGGAACAGATGTACCTCTCCGGCCAAGGCAGACATCAGGTTATCACCTGGCTTTTATGTGCAGAGGGTTGGATGCTTCCACAATGATTTTTATATTTATAATATATCATTAAGAACAAAATCAAGAGGAGGGAAGAAGTGGAGCTGCTGACACACTCATTTCAGCAGCAATGCTCAGCATCTGTCCTTTCAAATTTAACTAGTGAGTTGGTCTATAAATGCTAATTGTACTGGTTTTTACCTTCTGGTCTGTGTACCCATTCACACTTTGGTTTGGCACTGTCATGTGGAAGTTTGGTCTTACAACACAATACAGCATCTTTTCAGATTTGCCCTTCACATATAATTTATGGTCCAGTTACCTTTGTAATTTGAAAGGTGTTTCTCCAGCCTAAGTGAAAGTTGCGCAGTTTTGCTTTCAGAAAAGCACTCTGAGAGCTTGAGATCAAAGTACCTGTAATTATTGCTGCAGCTGTCTAATATCCTTTTGGATTAGTGTTGCATGTAAAATGGTCAAATTGCTCCTCCCAGCCAAACAATCTGGAGGAAAGCTGAATTGATGCTACTAAGCCTTTTTACAGACAAGTTTCATAACTATTAGACATACAAATCCTGTGAACTCTCAAAGAAGAGAAATGTACAAGATATTGGTAAATGCATCTACCAAAAGCTCCTGTGAAAATTGGAGTGGATTTAAAAATCCACTGTAAAAATGAGATGTCTAAGCAAAGATGCTCATTGACCTTCTCTTTTGCCCCAGATTGGGTTCTTTATGATGAGGTTTCCATAGGGTTCTGTGGTTCCAGTGTCAGAGCTTCCCCTCAGCCCCCAGTTTTTTGACAGTCATTTAGCATCAATCGGATTTGGTTTTTTCTGCCCTTTCAGATAGATATCCATCATCCTTTGTGAGAGTTTCACACTCTGCAATGCTCAGTTTTGCCTGTGTTACCTAGAGGGAATATAGCAAAGCCTCTGCTCAGGGAAGGGAGCTCCACCTCTCCCCACTGCTGAGTCTGACTTTTTTTTCTGAGTGAGGTAACAAACTGTCCTGCTGCTCATCTGCCAGTTCCTCTCAGGTTGGACTGTCTGCTGCTGCTTTCTAGAACGGGATTAGAGGCCCTTTTTTTGGGATGACTGGCTGATGTGCTTTATGCTTTATTGCAACTTCTCACCTCAGCTCACTGAGACCCATCTGGGTCCTGCAGGTGAAGCACCTGCTGTGAGCAGGTTGCTGCACTTGAGCAAGTCTTTAAAAGCTACTGAACTGCTGAAAGTGACAGAAGATAGATTTTGTAAGCCATGTGAGCACTGGAGTTGTGAAGCTTGGTCTGCAAATGTCTCAAGTGCAGCAGGCAAAGCCAAGAGAGACTGTTTCTAGCAAGATAATAGCATGACTTCTTATCTGAACAGTGAGCTGCTGCAGCTTGTCCAGTGGAAATCGGAAAGCGTTTCTTGAGGAAGAGTATTTTTTCATGGTTTTGGAGGATGGGATGGAAAGTGTTATTGTAGTCTGTAATAACTGTTTGCTTTGTCTTGTGCAGAAGATATCATGGCCCACAGCAGCAATGTCTCCTCAGTAGTGTTGGGCAAAGGTTCAGGCCGGATGCTGGCCACTGGAGGAGATGACTGTCGGGTCAACATATGGTCACTTAACAAGCCCAACTGCATCATGGTAAGACAGGCCTGTTTCCAGCTTTTGGGGGATGGGAATTTTAATTCTGAGCTTTGGAGGGTGGGGAATGAGGGGCAAGATTTTTGGGTTGTAGCCTGTGGGACTTGTGAATGGAGTTTGCCAACACAAAGCTGAGTGACCAGATTCTAGCTAAAGATAGGGGCAGAACCGTGTGCCTGGTGAGACCATTGCTCCAGAGAGAATCTGGGATGGATGGATGCTTGAGCTGGCCCAGTGCTTGCTCAGGTAATGTATACTGTGTTTTATATGTTACCAGGCTACAGATAATTAAATGGAGAGTTTTGTACAAGGACAGCTAATTTATTGTGCAGGCTACAGGGGCCAGTTTTATACTCTGGAGTTTGCAGTCATAGCAGGAGATGTCCTCAGCAGGATGCATTCCTACCCTGTCCCACGGTCCCTAACTGTCAGCACAAATGTTGCCACAGTGTTTTTCTGCGGGCTGGGGAGGAGAAACTCTGGGCACAGTGTGTTAGCAAGAGTAGGGTTACCCCAGTAATGATCACTGAAGTGTAACATAAATATATTTAACAGATGTCTGTCCTTGAGCAAATCTTTAAAAGCTGCTGAACTGCTGCAAGTGAGAGAAGATGCTTTTTGTAAGCCACATGAGCACTGGGATTGTGATCACTTTTTCTTTGAGTGGGTGTTGTGGAAAACCACCTTTACCACATGTCCCTGGTTTAATTAACACATGTCATTTGTTTAATTAACAGCACATTAATGTTGTGGTATTTGAGGCACTGCTCTAGTCAGTATGAATCTTGTGAGGGAGAAATGGGGAAAGTGAGATCAAAAAGGTTAAAAGGAGAATGTCTGCTGCATTTTTCTATTCATTGACTGCATAAAGGGTTGAGATGGGTGCCAGAGGAGGTGCTGACCTTTGGCAGGGCTGTGCCTCTTGCATGGTGTAGTTAAGTTCTGTCTTTCCAGGCCCTTGGTGGTGGCACAACACTAGTTTGTATTTGGAGCATTGCCTTTCTCAAGAGGAAGGTTGAAGGACTTAACTATCTCTGTACCATTTCTGTGGGAGCAGAGAGCTGTACCTCTCCTGCACTTCCTGGGAACCACAGATGTTAGAAGCTGGTGTTTCTGAGAGGCAGGGACTCACTGGAGCTGTTTGTGCTGTTCTTGTATATCAAAAGAATATTTTTTTTGAGGGATGTGCTGTATATACTGTGCTCTGAAATATACTAAGCTAAGAAGTGTTTATATTGTTAGGGTTCCAGATGTTTACCTGTTGGGAAAGAGGGAGAAGAAGAACTTTTCAAGTAATGTTGTTACTTGGTTTAAGTTTGATCTCTCATTTTCACTAAGCAGTGGCAGTTGTAGCTGAGGAGTATGTAGAGGATTTCAATTGCACAAGGAATCCTAAGAAAGTCCTAGCAGAACAGACAGCTTCCAACTGGCATTCCCAGTCTCTGTATGTGTGTGGGAGGCATAGAGCTAGTGCAGCTATTTAAAAATGTTTGAGGATGGAGTATAGCATGGAATTTTACTTATTTGACAATCAAAAGGTCTGCAATGGTGGTATTGGCTTCAGAGCTAGTTTTAGATATTCTGTTTTAAATAATTACCTTTTCAAAATACTGATGTAATTGAAAGCTTTCGGGTGCTCAAGGATGAAAGGAACTGTATACATGTATCCACTGCCTTATGCCTCAAGTCAGTACTTCAGTGTTAGCACTGTGCCATCACTGTGACACCCATTGCTGGCAGCAACATGTGGCTCCTTGTTTATGTGATGGTTTTGAAGTAGCCCTGCTTTTGCTCTTGCTTTGATTTTGTAACTGGTTCATGACACTTCCATGACCCATTTAGAGCAAACACAGTGCCATTGTGCTTGCACAGCATAGTTTTTATGATGTAAGCATGTGTCAACCTTGTCTGGGCATCCGCACCTAATGCTTAACTACCTGTGTCTCTGTTGATGCATCCTTTAAAAATTAGTCACTGTGCCCCAGAAAGTGGGAGAACATGGAAGATGGGTGTGCCCTGCTATGTGCAGTGATGGGTTTCAGGGTGCTCTGCCATGCTGCTGAGGAAAAGGGACCAGTGGCACAACCAGATGGTCACAACTCATGGCTGAAGAGTAACCCCACGAGTATGAACAATGCCATGGCTCACGCAGGGCTGTGTCAGTAGTTCACTGTGACTGTGAACTATAGTAGTTGATTGTGGCTCATGGTTTTTTTTTGCAGACCTTGACAGGCCACACAACACCCATTGAGAGCCTACAGGTCAATCCAAATGAGAAACTCATAGTTGCAGGGTCCCGGTCAGGGTCCATTCGAGTTTGGGACCTGGAAGCTGCCAAAGGTATGTGTCCGTGAGTTTTTGCATCTGTTAATGCATGCTTTTTGGAGAATTCTTATGCTTAATATCTGTACTGGCCAAGAAGGTTCCTGACTTAAGAAGGATCAAGAGCCTGGCATTGCTTTCATCTTCATTTGCAGCCCTCTTAGAGAGCTTTCATGGCTTTTCCACTGGGGCTGTAGAGCTGTGTATGCAGCTCGAGCAGAAATCTGGGCAGGTACTGAAGAGACTAATCTGAGGAAATACTTCCTATGGTTTTAACCCGAGTGTGTTGAAATCTACATTCCAGATCAGTTCCCATGCATGTATAGGTAACTAGGCATATAGACTTGGTATTCAGAGTCTCAATTTAAAATTATCAGCCTTAATAAAAGGATCCAAAACCAGATTGGAAGTTTTAAGTGTATTAGGTTCTGCCAGTCCAGAAGTTTGCCACTCACTGACCTCTTCTTCTTGTTCTTGGGTTCTAACTTTTCTTTTTCCCTCGAGCAACTTTTCTCCTCTTCTGCTCTTGTATGGCCATATAAACAGACAAAGACCTAATTTTTAATAAATTTTAAAAGCTATGAACTCATTGAGCTCTGATCCTTTAAAAGCTGATTGTTGAGTCATGCTTTATTTATTGCATTTTCCTCAAATCCTAGAATGAGTTTGCAAAGGTATCATAAATCACCTGAGTGCATTCCAGTAGGAATGCTAGAAAATGACTGTATATTTCATATAGGTTGCTGCTTGTTCATAGAAGGAACGTGTAATGAAAATAGACTCACACTGGCTGAGCTAAGAAGGCAAACCACAGGCAGCATCAGTAATGAAAAGCACTTTTGTCATTCAGACAGTTAGAATCAGTTCAGTTATGGAACAGTTTGGCTCTACCAGTGGAGAATAGCTGATCTGGCTGAATTTATTAGGAGACCTATGAGCCAGTGTCTCTGCAAATGACCACTCCAGCTCTGGCTCAAGAGCTAATTTCTGCCAGGGGAGTCATCATCTTGTTCCAGATGACAGATGACGGAGAGGGATTGCCCTTGTTATTATCTGAGCAATTTTTCTTCCTCAGAGTTGAGTTCTGTATTCATCTCTGCTTGCAGAGATATGGTGTACCAGTTCTACTGGTCCTTTCTGGTTTCCAGAATTACAAGGGGTGTTACTTGATGACTTGCTGAAATACTCTGATCATTTCTTTGTCTCCTGCTAACTATGTGTACGTTCCTGGTCTCTGGGATGCTTCTTCCAAGGGACAATTGAAGGAGCCCAGGGTGAATATAGGAACCTCAGAGGTGGTGCCTGGAGGGGGTGCAGAGTCCCAGGAGAGGGTCTGTCTAATAGCTGCAAGGTGAATGCTGCAGGCAGTCATATGTCCCTTTCACTTCCTGGCTAAAACTGCTCCTCCTCCGGCCCATTTTGCTGACTTCATAACAACCGGAAAGATATGCTGCCTGCCAGCTGCCTCATTTTCAGAATGAAGACCTTTGGAATTCTATCCATAGTTTCCATACCTAAGGACAGGACTTTAATTAGTCACTGAACATGGGCCCTCTGTTGCTGTTTCTCTGCATTGCAAGGGTGAAGTCAGAAGTATTTCCATAAACTTATGTTTACGGAGGAATAAACAATATGTAGCTTGTCTAATGTGCAATGTATTACCATGTGCTTAGTGGTGAGGATAGTATGGCTGCACTTCTGCATGGTGTGTGGGGGAAATGAACTACTAAATGTTTGCTCCCTATTCTATCTCCCTGCTCCTCCTTTCCTTTTCCCAGTTCTTCGTACCTTACCGGGTCACAAAGCAAATATCTGCAGCCTTCACTTTCATCCTTTTGGAAGCTTTGTGGCATCTGGCTCCCTGGACACCAACATAAAGGTAACACACAACTTCCACTAGAGATTTCCCTCTTTATTTGCAGTATTTTTGTTTTGAAGAGTGCCAGAATGTGTTTTGTGCCAAACTGTTGGTAGATGCTGCACATCATTTCCGTGTGTGGGCAGGTGTGTTTGCGAGTGCTTGTGAAATCTGTGCGTGCGTTTTCACAGCAGTAACTCATGAATGTGACTCCTCTGGTGTGGAATGTGGCTCCCAGTAAGGTGCCAGCCAAGACCTGGTGTCAGCAAGCACAGATGTCCTGGTTGCTGTGGATTGTATCTGCTTTATCCATCTGGTATTTGACTGCCAGAACTGAGCTGCTGCAATAAGAATTACCTTCCAGGAGTGATTCTCACTTGGGGAGATGGGTTAGAAAATACCCCTGAAGCAAAAAGGGGATCATCAGCCCCTTCATTCTGCAGTGTCTGTTAGCTTGGTGACAGGGAGAGCTCTTGTTCTGATAAGACCCTTGGGCTCCCCACATACTGCTCTAAACATACCATTTCTTCACTTTTGTTCCCTGTAGCTCTGGGATGTAAGAAGAAAAGGCTGTATCTTCACATTCAAGGTAAAAGACTTCATTAGTTTTCCAGCAAAGAGGGGAAGAAAGATTCCTGTTGAGGACTTGTGAACAAAGCTGAAAGGCATTGTGTTCAATGAACTTCCTAGTTTTCCAGCATGAGAACAAGATCTGCCCAATTTGTGAAGTGGCCTGGCAAACCTCAGCAGGCCTCTGTGCAGGAATATGAAATGGGTATCGTGGGAGTTAATGTGCTATAGTCTGGTTGGCTGCAGTGGGGGAGGGAGAGCATCCATGAGGATTTCTTTATACTGTGACTGGCATTACTATGCAAGTCCCCACTTCACTGAGGTGTTTCTATTCCTGGGGCCTCTTTCTACCCAAAGAACGTGCTGTATATTAATTTCATTTAGAAACCACCAACTTGGTTGCACAGCACTTCTATCTGACCATCCATAAGTCTGTGTAATTTAGAATGGATTCTTACTAATTAAGCCAGATCTGTATTTACCATACTGATGACAGACACGTCTAGATGAGAGAGATTACACACATTTAGTGTGGATGTGTATAGTGTCTTGAGCGTGTTTAGTGTTCTGCAGAGCTATGGACTCCTGAAACACGTAGTTGATTTTGGGTTTTTTTGTATTGCATGGGATTGAAAGACAAAATCCAGAATACTCTTTGTTTTTCTCATTTCAGGGTCACACAGACGCAGTTCGATGTCTGCGCTTTAGCCCTGATGGGAAATGGGTAGCCTCTGCTGCTGATGATCACACTGTAAAGGTAATTTATTGTGACACCCTCCTTATGTGCTCGTGGCACATGGGAATGCTGGGATCATGTTTTTACCAGGCATTACTAGCTCTTGCTCATAAACACCTTTAGTAAATTAGGCAGCTGGCTGAGCCCTGTAGCTTTGCAGGGACCAGTGGTTTGAGGCCTACAACACCCAGAGAAGAGCTGCATGCATGGAAATATCCTTTTCCAACAGACACTTTGGGACTGTGCATGTGGAACTTCAAGTTTTGCTAGTGGTAGAGTTGTAGTACCCAAACATTGGCCTCAGTTCTCTCAGTAAGTCTTGCAGAATGAGTTGTCCACAGGATGTTCCTTCACCACACCAATTTCTGGCTCTGCTCAATTAACTCAGTGTTATCATACACATTGCACGTGACTATCTGTCTGAAAATTGCTGTCAGGACTGAGTAAGAGAAGGAGTTCAGAAAAGCATTGACTGAGGAAGTGACTTCAGTTGTTTCACCTGGGGTACAGAGGAATGGGAGAAAAGGACTGATTTGATTTTCAGTTTCACATGAAATAAACTAGTCAGTCATTTCTCTCTGGATTTGTACATGGAGACTAGAGCAGAGGAAGAAGGAATTGCTAAGGGATTCAGAGCTTTTGGATTTTTGTTTGTTCTCTTCTGGGATGCAGTCTGTGGAGACACATGGAAATGCTGTGTTTTATCCCAGTCTTTAAATATAAACTTCTAGGGGACAAATTGCATGGGAAATTTAAAAGAGAATGCCAGAAAACCAGAAAAGGAGCCTTAAATGACTAGGATGGAACTCCTTCCCTGATCACTACTTTCTTTGACAGATTCGAGTCTGTTCCTGGAACGGGAAAGCATTAGAAGGTTGCCAGTACAAGGAAATCCCAAGTGTTTTGGAAATCTCTGACATGAAATCTCCTAAAGAGTCTCTATGTTCTTTCCTCCTTTCAGCTGTGGGATCTGACTGCTGGGAAGTTAATGTTTGAGTTCACAGGACATACCGGCCCAGTAAACGTTGTTGAATTCCATCCCAATGAATACCTTTTGGCTTCTGGCAGCTCTGACAGGTACATAAGGGGAGGGAGAAAGAAGGGAAAAGTATATGTCTGTTCCTTTTCCTGATTCCCTTCCATGTAGGAAGATGGCAAATAGGGATGTCACACAGCTCAAACATCCCACTGCGGGATCCAGACATCTAGCCAGCAGGACATCACCGCTGTGATGGGCAGAACATGGAGATCTTGCCTTGTCATCTAAAATTGATGGCACCTTCTGCCTCACTAGAAGCCAACGTGTAGCCTCAAGCATCTCACTAATCCAGCTGACATGCTGTCTGAACAGCAGGCAGCTCTGCTCAGCTGGCAGGCTGCTCTTATAGCTCTGTGTCAGCTCTAAATGCCTGTCCATATCTAGAGCCTCTAAGCATCTGTGCCTGGTTTCACAGATCTTAGCTAGACCAGCCTTCTGTGTAGGATTACTGGATGTGCACAACAGCAAAAGTCATTCTAACTATTACTGTTTTGTTTAAATTCTGGATCCTACAGTGGTTTCTAGAGGGATGAGTGATGAATTTTGTTCCGTTGTGTGTACAGGACTGTTCGGTTCTGGGACTTGGAGAAGTTTCAAGTTGTGAGCTGTATTGAAGAGGAAGTTACTCCTGTCAGGTACGTTAAATTCCTCCTGCAGTGTACTAGGCACAGACTAAAGTGGGGGTGAAGGGAGGATTTCCTCAGAGAGAGTCTTTACTGGGGAGAAGTTTGGGCTGCTGGAGGTGTTGCACAGTCCCACCAGGTTGTACAGGTTCATCGTTAGAAACGAAGCCGGAGGTGTTCGGTGCAGTCAGGGACCCGCAGGGACTGTGCCTGATTCTCCACCTGTCTTCCCAGGTGTGTGCTCTTCAACCCAGATGGCTGCTGCTTGTACAGTGGCTTCCAGGATACGCTGCGTGTGTACGGCTGGGAGCCCGAGCGCTGTTTTGATGTGGTCTTGGTGAACTGGGGGAAAGTAGCTGACTTATCTATCAGCAACAACCAGCTGGTAAGCCACTGCTCCTGAGGAGGGGGGGAGGCAGCTGTGATACACAAGATAAAATCCTCCTGGCTCCTTGCAGGCCTTTTGGCCTTTAAACTTGTATCAGACTGTAAGTGGCCAGGGCTTGCAGTGTGCCCAGCCCTTAGACAAAGATTGTGTGCTTTTGCTTTCAGCAGCCTCGTGATCCATTTTGTCTCTCTTTGGCTTCTGAAGGAAAGAACTGGGGTGTGGTTTGACCAGTATTTAGAAACTATACTTGGCAAAATATCTGGGCCTTTCAAAAATGATTGACAACTTCAAGCTGATAAAGCCAGAGCACTGAACTGAGCAACCCTCAAGCACAGTTGCTCAGGGTGGCTCCATCATGTCTGCTCTCAAAAAGGCTGGTGTGCACTCTGCTCCTTGGTGAATATCTTGATCTTTTGCCTCTGCAGATAGGAGTTTCCTTTGCACAAAGCACAGTCTCTTCCTTCGTTGTGGATCTCAGCAGAGTCCCAAAATCAGATTCTGTTCCTCCTGGGCTGCTCAGGGATGACCAGCCTCTTATGCCACCTGGCCACGCAGGGGCCTCCCTTCGCCGCATCTATGACAGGTCCTCAACAAGCTGCAGCAAACCACAGAGGTGAGGGAGTCTGCTGGCTGCTTCAGTTTCAAGGTGGTAAGGAAATGTACAAGTAGCTCAGTGCTCTGACAATACAGCTCCCTGACAGCTTCTCTTTTTCCATATAGAATGAAGCACAACTCAGAGAGTGAGAGGCACAGTCCTAGCAGTGAAGATGACCGGGATGAGAAGGAATCAAAGGCTGAGATCCAGAACCAGGAGGATTACAAGGAGATCTTCCAGCCCAAGAATGCAATCTGTCAGTACCAGGATTTATTGTGCTTTTGAGTCGTGTCTGGAATTGGGCTGTAGGTGCTAAATTCAGTAGAAGTGAACTTTGGTTTAGTGTAACACAGACTTCACCTGTGACTGGGAGAGTTTAGAGAACTTTTCTTTAATATTCTGCACTTGGACAGTGAACCAGAGACCATGTTGGTGAATGGCTGGAAGGTGGCAGCTGTACTGGGGTGCAGTGCTGTCTGGTTGGAGCCTGACTCAGAATCTAGAGTTCCATTTTAGACGTGCTGCCTTCCTGTTCCAGTTAAGGTGTTACAGGAATTTTATTACCTTAGAATTTTGATGTGTATAGGATCAGCAACCTATTCATTAAAGAAGGAAAGGCAAAAGCTTTTATTAAAGCAGAGATTATTGTTTAGGAGGCATTGTGCAATGCCTGTATCTCGTTTTTATAAGGAGAAAAAAAAGATATTCTTTCAATGAAATTCGTAGCCATTGTTTATTTATTAATATCAGTAACAGGAGGTGAATTTTTTTTATTAGCATTTGTTGTGACAGTGCCTTTTCTCATGCTTCACACCTCTACAGCAGCAATGAACCACAGGGATCACTTTTGTCCCTCCCATCCATGAAGGCTGAAAGCCTTTGGCTAAGCTCAACAATAGTGCCAAGGTCTGAAGGAGATAACTCTGCTTGTTGTATCACTGATACCCTTGTGTGGAGTTGTTGGAGATATCTCAGTTCCAAGGATGACTTATCACTAATCTATAGCCTTGGATGCTCCTTCATTTGTTTATTGTTTAATCTCTTTCTGTAGGCCGAACTCCTCCTCGAAGCGAGCCCTTTCCAGCCCCTCCTGAGGATGGTGAGTATGGAAAGCACCCTGTGGTGGGAATGGGGTTAATGGCCCTCAAAAGAGGGAGGAGAGCTGCATGTCTGCAGAAATAACTCCTTGCAGTCTAGCTATACAGAGCCTTTGCTCTCAACTTCTCTTGAAAGGAACAATCAATTTCTGCTTTCCCCCTTCTTTCCATGTTGGTAGAGCCTGTAACAGCAAAGGAAGCAGTGAAGCCCAGCCGAGCCGTGGATGTGCAGACCTCATTGCCAAAGCAAGAGCTTGTATGTACTGTGTGGTCTGTTGATCCCTGTTTGTGTTCCCCCTGTGAATGATGTGCGAGTGCTGGAGACTTTGATTTCTACTCAGGCTGATTCCTTTACTGAAGGGCAGTAAAAGTGAAGCTCCAGCCTTTGTCCTGCCAAGTGTTCTGCTTGAGCAGTAGAATCAAGGCCAAGCCTCCAACAGGCGATGGCTCTATTGTTTTTGTTCCCTGCTTGTGCTTGCAGTGGTGTTTCTCCTTGCATCTCAAAATTGGGGCACTCTGAAGAGGACCTAGTGCCAGATTCCTGCAAGTGGTTGAACTGAGGCTATTTTGTTGCCAGCATTGCAAGCAGCTGATGGGCCAGGATCCATTTTACTGGCTTCTTTAGAATTCTCTTTTAGCCTTCAGGCTCACCACGGCCCATTGCCCTAATTTCAGATGCTGATAACAATAACACAACTTGGCACTTCTGCTGAGGCATCTGTGTTCTTTACAAACCTTAATTACATCTTGGTGTGTACCTGGGAGAATATGTCTATTAAAGTGTGCTAGCAAACTGCAAGCTGCTTCTGTGTTAGGGCCCTGCTGTGAGAGGAAAGCAGGTCAGAAATAGAGGTCATCAGACAAGGGCCAGACTTACTGCTGGAGCTTTTATCCCAATTTCTCCTGCAGCCTGATCCAGTACAGAGGCCACTGGTTGTCTCCTCAAGTTCTTTGGCCAGAGCAGAGCCGTCCGTGATTCCTGCAGCCAGGAATGAGCCCATTGGCCTGAAGGCCTCTGACTTCCTACCAGTAAGTGTATCTGGACAGTAGTTTCCAACTAATGTCTCAGTTGAGTGGGAGCAGAAAGGAGGTTCTCTGAGGTGCCTCCATTGTGATCAGCACCAGGGCAGTGCAAACACAGCAGTGTTGAGCTGTGCTCACAAAGAAGCTGTTACCAAAGCAGAGAGCAAGGAGTGACAGTCATCGTCACGGTTCTAGTACGGTTCCACGTACTAGACAGTGATTCACTTAGAAAATTGGTGTCTGCCATTACACAAACATAATAATTTCACAGGAATCTCTGCCTCTTGCATCTTGGAGGCCTCTTGGTCTCTCTTGGGGAGGACATTTCCTGTCCTAAGAAAGGAGAAAGACCAAGAGCATCCTGATGGTCCCAGACTCTAAATGTGGGCAAATGGTTTGAGCATGACATGGGCAGGAATCAAGTTGAGAATGTAATAAAATGTGTAAGATTTATACTTTGAAATAAAATTTTCTGATTTCAGATGAGTGTTTCACATAAAAAAATAGGGTTTATGTGAAAACATTTCTTCATTAAAACATGTTGGTTTTGAAAACTTACTTTAGATATACTTTTTTGAGAGTTTTTCCAAAGTTTCAAACATGTTTGTGATTGATGTAGTAGAAATAGCAGAAAAGAAGTAACAGAAATCAGAACAAATTGAACATTTCCATTTCAAAAGGTTTTTAAAAGAATCTTTAAGGAAGTCAGTGTTCACTGCCACTCTGTACACCAACATTGGCTCATGTCTAGGCCAGAGAAAGCTCCCACCCTCCTGTGCCATCCTGCTCTGTGTCTGTAATTGCAGGCTGTGAAAAACCAAAGCCAAACTGAGCTCGTGGATGAGGAAGCCATGTCCCAGATCAGGAAAGGCCACGAGACCATGTGTGCGGTGCTCACCAGCCGCCTCAAGAACCTTCACGCCGTGCGGGCTGTATGGAGCACCAGTGACATCAAGGCAAGGGTGTGGAGATACCATGAGGGGAGCAGCTGAACAGCTCTGTTTGCTTGTCTGAGGCTGATTCCGCCTCACACAAAATGAGTCTCACAGCTCTTGTCCCCAGGGGTGCACCACAGTGCTGCTAGTGTCCCAGCTGTGGCTGAAGGGTCACAAAGAAATGTGGAGAAAACTTTCCCGTGAGAGAGTTCTCTTCCCTTGTCAGCTTCACATTTCCTCTACCTTGTTTTGAAAAAGCAGCACTTGATAGTAACTTCCATTATCCCAACCAGTCTGAGCTTTGCAATAGACAACCCTTTCTTTCCCTTCTCTCTCAGAACTCTCTAGACTCTGCAGTGGCAATCAGCGATCTGTCTGTGGTCGTGGACCTCTTGAATATTATCAACCAAAAAGCGTGAGTTGGGGAGCCCCTGGGATACCTGAGAGCTGTCTGACTGGGCTTATACCTGCCTCGTGTCCAGTGAGCCTTGGCACATGAAATGCCTGTGTTTGTAGTCACATCCTCAAGTCTTCGGTGGCAGTAATTGTTGGAGTTGTTTGGGGCCTTTTTGGTAGGCAAATTACATCTTGCAAGGAAAATTGAAGTCTTGGGGCTTCATAAAAGTGATTCTGAGTCAGTGAAGGATGTCAGAACCTGCCACCTTCTAGCACGAGGGGGAGTCAGCGAACTTGCTCAGGGAACCTCAGTGCTGCTGCCTGGGGACTTCTGCCAGAAAGCATTATTTGTGTCTGCTCAGCTTTGTAAAGCCTCAGTCTCCAGTCTCAGGATTTACTTTTCTTTTCAGGTCTCTCTGGAAGCTGGATTTGTGTACTATAGTCCTACCACAGATAGAAAAACTACTCCAAAGTAAATATGAAAGGTGAGGCCCCAAGAACATGGTGTGCTTGTGGGATGAGGTGTGGATAGTGATAGGGGAGCTCTGCTGGGCATTTTGTAGCTGAGAGAAAATCCTAAGAAATCACAGCAGATACAGTATAGTGCTGATATGATGTCTGGAAAAGAACAATGGAGTTGCCAGGTTTGTGTGGGAAAAGATATGGAAAGTATGCATGGGCAGGAAGAGCAGGGTAGTGGGATTCAGGGTAGGTGCACTGGGTTGAAGGCAGCTCTGGCTTCCAGGAGGGGTCACATCAATGTAAAACAAATGGGCTTTGTGCACTGATGGGAATGAAACAGTTATCTTGGGACAAGGAGAATGAAGTCCTGCAACAGCCCTGGGTCTCACTGGGAAGATTGCTTTCAACCTCACCATTTGCAGGGCAAGAAAATGCAGCCTCTCTCTTAAGATGGAGTTTCTGCTTTCTCTCCCTTCCTTCCAGGAGAGAGGTTCCTGCCAGGTCACTTTGGCAGGACATCTCTGCCTTTGAGCAGCGAGGTCCCACTTGGCAGGGTATGTGCCAGGACCTTTGAAACAGGCTTGCTTTGTCAGTCTGGACTGGAACCAAGATGTATTGGTACTTGGCTGTTGCTCTCCTTCCCAGGTTACAGTGGTGGAGGTGGTGTTGTTAGAAGGTTGAGTGCTGGGGGACAGGAATGAAATTGGAGTGGGACCTGATTCTCTGTTTGTTTTTCAGTTATGTGCAGACAGGCTGTACCTCCCTGAAACTCATTCTTCAGAGATTCCTGCCACTCATCACAGACATCCTTGCTGCACCACCTTCTGTCGGAGTGGACATCAGCAGAGAGGAAAGGTGAGGCACACATTTCCACTTCCTCCTTGCTGGAACCAGCTTTTCTCTTGGGTGAGCTTTGTCCTCACCATCGAGGCTCTGAGGCTAGACTGGGCATGCCTTCCCTTTGTCTGCAAACACCAAACCCTCCTGCTCTGAGAAAAAGGCCAAAGACTTCTTTTTCCCTCTGTCACTGTGCGTTGAGTCATAACTAAACAAAGTATCGGGAGTTAAACCACCCTGTGGCTTCACCCCATGCCTCACAAAACACAGGAGTTGGCAGCCAGGCCCTGGATTTCCAGTTCATTCACAGGAGAGCTGTGCCTTGAGAACTGGCCTTTGGAAAGCAGCACCTTCTTCCTCCCTGGCCTGTACTGCCAAAGGGGGAAGAAGAGTGAATGGCATTCACATAAGGGCTCTTTCTCCTGTCTCATCAGGATGTGGGCTGAATGCCTGGTGTTTCTGCAGAGCTGTGCTCACATTTCAGCCTCTTCCAGACCATTTGCAAGGCTTTTCTCTCCTGCTTGAGCTGCCTCTCTGCCACTGCAGGAACAGCCACATCTCTTACGCAGCTGAGGATTCATGTTGTGTCTGCTGTGGTTTTTTTGCAGGCTCCAGAAATGCGAGCTGTGCTACAAGCAACTGAAAAACATCAGCAATGTTGTCAAGGACAAGTCTGGGCTCAGCGGCCGCCATGGTAGTGCCTTTCGGGAACTGCTGCTCCTCATGGCTGCCCTGGAGTAACAGCCACCACCTCCTCATGTGCAAATACAGTTGGCCAAGCTCTTCTCTGCTCATGGTCTGGCTGGATTTCAAGTTTCTCTGTGTGTCCATCTTTTCCCTCTGCCCCTCCCAGCATGGTAAGGAAGTGGAATCTGGCTGGCTGGTCACCCACCCAGCCCTGGCCCCTTATGGGATGGATGGAGGACCTGAGTGCAGAGACGTGTGCTGTCTGAGGGGCCCTGGAGGATGGAGGGCTCTTCAAAGCCCCTTAGCTGCTTCATTTCAGCTCTTCATCTCAGCATCAAGCTCTGGGCTGCTCTGTCTGTGTGCTGGCCTTTCCCTGGCAGGAGGGCTCTGAGCCTGCTGTCGCCCCTCCTTCCCTGTGTGCTGTTAGTTCTTGTTGCTTGGCCCTGTGGGCCAGGGCTGGCTGGCCCTGCTCTCGCTGTGCAGTGTGCTGAGGACTGCAGCAACCACCCCACAAACGCCTGCTGTGGGATGGAGTGCCCTTTCCATGCAGAAGGGACTTCAGCTGCCATTGGGGACTGGCCCCTTTGGCTTCATCCGACGTGAGCCAGGACACCGTGCCACCATGCTGGTGCAGTCTCAAGGACCTGAACCAAGATGAGGCTGTCTCTTGGCTTCTCAAACACCCCTGCTGGCACCCAGGGCTGCAGAAGATTAATATCTTCAGACTGTGCTGGGAACTGAGGTCTTCCTGAGCCTGTTAAAACATGTGACTTAAACAGGACTTGTCGTATGTGTTTGCCTTTGGGGACTGAGAATTTGGGAGGGTGGAGGAACAGAGGGACATGGACTGGTAAATGTCTTTCTACATCCACTGGCCCACCCTTAGAGGTATGTTTGGGTTTCTTTCCCCACAATAAATGTCTGTCAGAACCATTCTGTCCCTCTTTCTTCTTTCCTCTGGGGAAAGAGGTTCCTGTTGGTGCTTCCTCTGCTCTTCCCAGCCTGTCTCCCATTTTATACTCTGGAGCCTGTTCTCCGGGAATCTGTAACTTATCATGAATTTTATTAAAATATTTGTAATTTGTTTTTTTAAAGTTGTGTTAAATGCCTGAATCTCTTAAGTCCTGTTCACCTTGGCACAGCTTGTGGCTGGGAGCACCCAGGAAAAGCAGGGCTCTGTTCCCTGCGTGTCCCAGGGGGAAGCTGACCATTCTCACCCTTCCTGCTGGGAGGCTGTGGTGAGCAACAGGAGAGCCAGCACTTGCCAGGTGGCTTGTGGAAATCCCGGGGGCGGTTTCACTCTGCTGGGTTGTTCCCAGCCCAAAGAGCAGTGTCATCATTTGGGGCTCATCCTT